CCACCAATAACGTAGCTCCATTTTCTGCCTTTGAAAGCACACACAACCCACAATTTCTCTATTCGCTCCGACGAAGGGCTAACGCTCGAAACGTCAGCTTTTGTAATCGTTACGGTGGCCAATTTACCATTTCAACTTTGTTGATATATCCAAATTATTTCGTCACCCCCACCGAAGCAGCCCTAAACAGTTTCTTTAGAAACTATCAGCCTTTATTCATTTGTGTTTAAGATCAACCACTTGACTCCCTGCCATGTTTAATAAAGACCACGTGTTTCAGTGACGCAGTACATATATCACGACAGTGTTAAATATAAAATTCTGTGAGTTACTTGAATTCAGATGTTTGAAATTCTATTTCATTATATATCAACCGTGTATACATGTACCTAAGGGTGGTAGTGGGCGTCTCTCTGAGAGAGCTTCGAAGTTTGAGATATAGTTCATGGCTGGCTTCATCCACTGTAGAATAGTTACATTTAAATGAAAGTTCAAAGTCATGTTCGCGAGTAATCACACTGTCCATCGGCTCAGAGTTGTCGTAGACGACGTTTGAAAAGACGAAATCCTCTTTTGTTTTCGAGAAGTGTCGAGCCACAGCCATTCAAGGATGTGCAAATAAAAACATGCAACTCGGTTTCCGTGGCCCGGCATGAAGTGCATATGGCTGGCATCTAACGACAGGAAACTTCCCCTGTCAAACAACACTTGTATTTATTGGCTACCACGCGTCGCAGACACGCCATGCTCTGAATAAAATGATGTTTCAAAAATTGCAGAATTAGAAACTTGATCCCTTTGCTGATGTCGGTAACTGTCGACGTTCTTACCCTTAAGAACGTCCAACCGCACCTTCTACTAAGGCGATGAAGATGTTTAAAATGAAAGAGAAGTAAGAACTTACAGAAGTTCACCTTCTGTTGAAAACCTATCGTGAGGAGGATGACCAGGCCAAACTCAATTCTGAGGGATCCAAAATTTCTTGTTGTCTTTGGAATCAAGATTCCTATTTATTGTTACTCACTATCAGGGATCAACGTTTGGTATCCATTAAGAAAGCAGTATGAAACTCGTGGTCGCTCTCAGATTAAAGAAAGAATCACTCAATTCTCTTTTTCGTTTACAGGCGTCCAAAACGTCGATTTTCAAGTAATTGTGATCTGAAAGCAGCCCTAAGTCGCTTCCTTTCGACGTCAAGTACCATTAAAACATCCTTAAAATTAATTGAGCACAAAATGATTTGCTTTGCCAGGAAGTCATAAGTAATTTAGTGCAATACCTTCCAAAGGCAGATAAAACCAAAGGAAAAAAAAATAGAATAGCTTCAATTCGAGATTCCATCCTTGGTATCGAATAATGACTCGGTGATAAATTAAGTGGACTGCAAATTAACAGACACTCTTTCAAGCGCAACTCGATTGTGTGACGCGTTCACTAAAGATAGATCCAACCCAGAGTACTCTTAAATTTTAACCCAGAGCGAGGTGGTTTCCGTGAAACAAGGAACAGGGAAAACTGTTCAATTATGATTTATTTATTTGAAAGTATGTGAGCAGTCTGGGGACCACAGTTTAAGGGCTAAATTGTTATTTTTAGACTAAAAATTTGGTCTCTTCGAATATTTGGCAAATTTTGTCCTTTACTGAAGAACAGCGGCTTAGTTTCTTCATTTCGTGTAGTGATCTGTTATTCTGAATCTAAACCGTCGCAGGTCGAAAATGTCGCCGTCTACCGTCAAAATAGAATTGTTTTAGCCACACTATCAGCAGGTACATGTGCGCACCGTGACTTAGCCTACCTAAAGTGTATTCTAGGTCGACCAGTCTCTGTCTTGACATATTTCAGCTTCTAGTTACACTAAAGATTCTGAAGATAAACTGCACTTACATATCCTTCAAAGCCTTTTCTCTATACATTTAAAAGCGATCTATTCAAAGTAAGGTCTGCGGTGTCTAAGAGACTGCAGAATGTAAAGCTGGAGAAAAAAATGTTACGCAACGTTCAGGGGGCTTAATTTCCCAAGAGGTGGAGGAGAATATTCATTTACAATGACAGCAAGCATACCTCTTAACTGCCGCCATAGGGTATAAGTTGACTTTTATGTTGTTAAGAAGGCAACATGACACATTGCAAAAGAATAACATATATTTAGAAGGCGTCTTCATGTTCGACCATGTCTTCAGGCTGAACGTAAGCATTTCTTCTGCTTAGTTGTCCATCTTGGGTTGCGTACTGGTCTCCAACCTTGTTCCTGTTCATGAACCGTCGGGCAATGCGGTACTTGACAAATAACACAGCCAATGCAGCAACTGCAATCAGAGCAAATCCTCCAGCGCCTGCTAGGCCACCAATCAGCGCAGTTTGCTTGTTTTGATCTGTGTCTAAAATGTGAAAGCAGGCGAGAAATCAAGGCTCAAGTAACGACCAAGGAAAGGGAAACATTAAACAATAACACAGTCTATTTTTTCTCATTTCTGTTAATGAAATTAGTCGTAGAAAAGAAAGAAGGGAAAAAAAGGAAAATCGTCTGATAGCGTAAGTCAAAATCATCTTAGTGAACCTATTTTCAAAGTCCTTAAATATCGAACTTTATTTTTCAGCATTGTAAACGTAAACATGTCACATGCATATCAGGACTTAAATATTCATCCTAAAGTTGTGCTTTGAAAGTTTTGGTCATCATTATTTTTATTTTTGAATTTTTTGCGATAATAGCGAACTACTAAATGTTTAAAACGAGAATGAGTGTTACTCCAAACTAACTAAATTTGAAATTTAGGCAAGACAGCGTTGTTGATATCTTCCACACAAGCTTTGGATGATAGGTTTGGATAAAAACTTATATATTTCAATCTTTTGTCTCTTCACATTTTATGTGAACTTGCCTCCTTGTTCTTGTTCCAGTTGGATGATGAGTGGTCCTCGAGTAAGAGTGACTTTGGTAGTACTCTCTTCATGTTCTATTTCGTCACGAGTAACATCCCTCCGCTTTCTCTTCTTACTGCCTAAACAACTTTGGCTGCACCTGTCAAAGTTGTTAAGGGAGATTTGAATGAGCTTCCAACACCTTTGTTACCTTGTGAGATGATGGAGTCATAGGGCGCTCAAGTTTCATAATTGTCGTCGTGATATTCGTCACTGAATCGTTCGCCTCACGATTTAGAGTGAGGCTATCAGTTGCATCGCTTTCTACGATGAATAATATCTATTCCTCCAACATTGAATAATAATATTGGTAAGGGCTGATCATTTCGATTTAACAGGTTGCATAATGCCACTCATGTGGGGGACGCAGTGCCTATTAGAGAGACCTGGCCTGGTCAATGTGTTATGTTCACAGGCAGTCTCTTTACCCTCGCCACCCAGAATAAATGAGTACCGGCGAATTTTCAGGGAAGCCTGATGAAATTTTGGAGGGTAACCTTGCGATGGACTGGCATCCCATCCAGGAAGGAAGGGGGGGGGGGTGTAGTCATACTCCCAGTCGCTTCAGAGAACCAGGGAATGCTCCAGCTGAATTGGCCAATTGGCTCGAGTACAGAATTTACCTTAACGACATTCAATCAAAAGAATGCTCTCAGTATAGCTGTACAAGTTGGTAGATTCACCTGGAGTTTGGAGAGTATGTATGGCAGGCCAAAACTTCGCAATGAATGTACACCTGATCGTAGTCGTTGAAGAATCTGAACGCTCTGATTTTAAATTGCTGGTAATTCCTCCTGGGATCAAAGTTGTATTCCATGGATGTATCTTGTGGACAACTGAAGTTGGTGAAAGTAAGAAGTATGTTGAAATTAATGCTCGCAAGTTGGACATTTTGGATAATTTTGCTTTAATTCATTCAGCCAACTAAACTACCCTCGAGACTATTCTGGGTAATTTTAGCTTTTAAAAAATGGAGTATTGGTAAGAAAATATACGATATACACCGTCTCCCGGTTAGCTCAATGGATAGAGCGCTGAACTATTGTGCAGGAGGTCGAGGGTTCGAGCCCCGGCCGGACCAAAACATTTAGGGTCTTAAAATAATTGAGAAGAATATGCTACCTTTCTATAACATCAAGAAATTATTAAATATTCTAGTCTTCTCGGATAGGGACGAATAAATGGAGGTCCCGTCTCCTGCAGGGTTAGGTGAAGGAGACGTTAATTTCCCACGTACAAGATTACTGTGTGATGGATGTCCTCCCCTAAGATGGTAACAGGACCCCCGTTGATACCAGTGTTTACTACACTGAAGGGGCTATCCTGTATAAATATAGATGTCTATTTCTACTTCTACTACTACTACTACTACTTCTACGAAGATTTGTCCTATAGAGATTACGCTTACCCCCAGAAACGTAATGTAGCAACAAATTTAGGTGATATGAAATAAAGAATCGTTGGTTAAATTGACTGAAACCTGTATATATTACCAGAGAGATCATTCAAAACTATATGTCTGAGTACTATACGTACCCGTTCTGTATGATAGAGTATTGTGGCCAGGAGTAAAAGCTTCCAGTTTTAGTGGCCTTACATGTCACGGCCATTATTACCAGATCAGCACTGGATTCTACACTGTATCTCACATACAAGTACTGATTGATTGGCACGCTCAGAGGGTAGTCCTGCTCAGTATAGGGTGTGGCAAATGACGAACTCTTGTAAAAGTCAATTTTAAAGGTAAAGTTACCATACCCAGCTAGACAGCGGAAACGATAAAATCATATTAGCACATAACCGTGTTAAGTTTTTAATCTTTATCAGATAAAAGGAAGGCATCTTCCTTACAGGTAAGCAACTTGGCTAAAGGTACACGTGGCTGATCTGGAGTTAACGGAACGATAGCCGGAAAGCTTCATTTACCTTCTGTTCCAAAGCGTAGATGCTGAGGATTGATACCCAGGTTGACCCATTTCTTCCTCGAATAACCGCAGTAAAATGGAATTTTAATGTCATGTGATCTAGTTATGACATTATCGATAACAATCACGTCCGTTTGGATTTCATTCCAGAAGAAAAGATCATCTTCAGTCTCGTTGACCAGTGTTCCGCAACCATTTAAAGGAGTTCTGAGCAGAAGATGGGTGTTATTCTGTGTGGCTCTACATGATGAGTACCTCAAGTGTAATCGGGCAGCGTCAAAAAAGGGAAATGTCTTCTTTTCCAAAGCAACCGTCATAATGTCGCTACAGTTAACGGACACACCAGGTTCTAGGATGAGGTAAAAAAAAAATGAAATAGTCTTAAATTTAGCAAGACTTAAATTTGTCTCAATTACTCGTGCCCAACTTATTTTAACTTTAAAATGGTTGGGTCACAAAAAGTATCACGCATTAACAAACGCAGTGCGAGCTCGATTTAATTTTCTTTTCTTTTTCCCAATGAGCGAACACATTTTTATCTCGTTTACATGGAGACAACAGATCAAAGACCGTCCCCGAGAAACTGTCTGAAGACCGATTGCTACAGCTAAAATCTTGCTCAAGCTGCTGTAGCATTCGATAGTCATATTTTCCCGAAAAAGATATATGCACAGTTTTAACTTAAAAGGAACAGTCATTGGTCTTTCATTGTTGATTGCCATTCATTTTCACTTAGAAATCAGTGGCAGAAATTGTCCTGAGTTGTGAAAAGGAAACGGCTTGCATTTCTTACCAACACAAGTCAAATTGTTAGCACCCATACTGGTTCCTTCCGGACAGCCACAGTAAAATGATCCAGGGATATTGTAACAATGATGGCTGCAGCCGCCATTATTGATCGAACATTCGTCAACGTCTGTGCAAAAAGATAAAAAAAAGTTAGAAAATTGTAGAAAAAAAAAAACAGCCACCTAAAGCATTTAAATTTCAAGATAAACTTACAGTGGACACCAAGGGAGAATGGAAAACGCGTACGAGAGGAAGAGAGAAATTTTGGCGCTCTGAGGTCTACATTATTAACCCTTCGACCCTAAGTGTGACTGGCGTCTAATATCTTTGTATTACACCTTAGGCTCATAAGAATAAAGGAAATGATAACCAACTGAAGAAGCTTCTAATTGTTAGACAAATTTTCCTTGTATGCACCCTATGAAATCTACCAAGAACAGCACCGAGAATATAGATACTGAAGTTAGGGTGTAATGGGTTAGATTGGGAACTACTGAAAATTTTCAAACAGCAAGCGATAAACGACAATTTGGGAGTTGAGCTGAACGAAAAGGGTACACGATGAAAATATCTCCTCGTAAAACAAACTTTACCCAAGCACGATTTCCGATCTGCAGCCAGTTGGTAACCCCTAACGCAAGAGCAAGTGTAACTTCCGAACGTGTTGTGACAACTTTGGTCGCATTCCGCCGGTAATCGAAACTGGAACTGAGAAGGATCTGGTTGAACGTTTACACTTGAAGCAGCATAGAAGGTCGTTGCCATTGTAGAGGCTGGTGTCGGGTGGATTCCTTGCACTCCAAATAAACGCACCCATTTCTTCTATTGCGAGTTTTATCCTAATTCTTTTAATCTAATTCTATCTACTGCATTGGGCTCAGTCTTACAGCAATAGCTAATAACGCCCATATTTTTCATCATAATATTTTGTATTTTAAGTTTGTTATTATGAAACGATACTGGTTTTAAAAGGAATTTCATTTGGGCGAGGAAATTGTTCATAGGAATATGGCAAAGCTACGGATAGATAAGTGGAAGCCACTATATAAAAATTCTTTGAGGAGCCCAGGTTTCGTTCACTTACGGTTTGACGAAGTAGGAGTGGCAGTTTGTGTCTGTATAGGCAAACACTGGACTTGGCTTGTCATTGGCACTTGTTGGCTAGGTAATGTAATATTGTATCCTGCGTATGAAGAAGAGCTTGAATTTGTAAATATTACGGAACAAAAGCAATAGCATTAAATATTTTGTGTTCTTTATGGTTCTAAGAGTCATTCCTAGGCTATCCCCATGGAAGTATTTGAAACTTATTACCAAAATGTGTAGAAAAACAACGAAGGTCTACGGCTATGTTTTTTTCTAAAAGGGAGGCAAGTTGAGCAAGTCGTAGTAAATTCTATACAGTGCGTGAGTTCTGAATCTTTAGTATGTCGTAGAGTTTATCCCCTCTCCATCTTCGCCCGGTAAGTAAGTAGTGGGTGTTGAAAAAAGCTTCCTTACCCTCTTCCAAAGCAGATGTTATTATCATTTAAGTCATTACCGATTAATTCAAACTTTTTTGGCTCAAGTATTCAGCGTAGAGTCGATAATTACAGTTTTTTGTCGTCTTAAAAGTATAGCATTATTCACTCAAACAAAGAAAAATACCGTAAATGGTGGGTTCATGAGCCGTGTTGGACCGTAAGACCGGAATCAAACCCAAAGTTTTCGGCTCAAGTATTCGGCTTAGAGTCGACACTTACAGCTTATAGTCCTCTTAACAAAAGAGTATAATCCGCTCAAATAGAGAAAATGACCACAAATGGTGCGTTCAAGCTCGTTCATAAGCCCTACTAGACCGTTAGACCGGTATCAAACCCAAAGTTTGTATATCCTGATTCAATCATCATATTTTTTAGTACTTGGAAGGGAGACAACTTGACTGAAACTTTTAATCGAATTGACATTAACGGGACATCATAAAATATTTCATTTACATTGCACCTACCATGAAACTTTCACCTACACATTTAAAATTAAGAAAGGTTTCAAAGAAATGCATTTATTCCTCTTACTGTAATGTGAAGCTTGAAAATAAGCATGAAATCCAGGCCTGTTGATGATACCGTCTGAATGGAACAGCACCATGAGGAACCTTCCACCACTGAACAATCTCAGCCTTGCCAACTGACCGCACGCCTTGACAACAACAGGACTGTGCAATGAGTTACCATCGAGAATTGTCACATAATCCCACGGGCAGTGAGAACCTCCATATTCCAAATGGAAAGAATTGAATTGTAGGTAAACGTATTTGCCAATAGGAGCTTCGAGTAGCCAAGTGCAGTCCTTGTTGTTTGGGTAACAACCAGGTTTGCCTGGACTCTCAAAGCTACCCGAGGGTTGGTTGAGGTGATGGAAACAGTTTCCTGTAGAGATAATTCAAACAACAGAACCATACATTAGTATTCTATTTTGAACTTAAAAGCTTGTATCTATCTACTTGGGTTTCACGGTAATCGTCCATTTTTATTTAAGCTGACTGGACAGTTACATACATACATAACCTTTATTTCCTTACGAGTTTTAGAGTAGCTATGTACATATCACTGACATCTTCGAGAAATAAACATGTTAAAAAATATAAAACAATACCAAAAAAAATATATTGGAGAGACGTTAAACTATCAGTGATAAGAAAAATTTGCTTCACTGGGTAAAGGTATCCTGGCTTCGTACACTTCTCCTATAATCAGAACATGTGATCATCCTTTAGAATTAAGGAAGGGCATTCCACTGGTTGGCGGATGTATGAGAAAGAACGTAGTCCATAGTTGGTGGTTGTGGGCTTACTAAGAGACTACATATGGCTAGTAGTAAAATTTAATTACACATGTCAAATAAGGTGCTCTGACCGAGTAAGGCGTTCGAGAAAGCAATGATTTAGTAGTCAGCGAGATTACTGGTAGTCGAGAGTTTCGCCGTAACTGGCTGCATTAAAGCCACGTAGCAATTTATGCCTTAACTTACAGTCTGACAAGGGCGCCTCGTTTGCAAACTGATTTCAACCGAATGACACTTACCAGGGATAGCCGAGGTAGTGACTGCAAGATGTTGGGCTTTAAGTAGGAAGAATAAAGCAAAATGACGGTCATAAGTATTTATAATTACGCTGAGAAAGGCTGGTAAACCTGTTGTACTTTCGTCTTAGACATAAAAAATATCTCGTGGCTTGTTCATCCAATTTTCTTTTCTTTAGACGATTTATTTTTAATATCATCACTAAAGAAAAAACAATATCAGAAATGGTGGAGCGTCTTCCATGTAATCCCACACGTGCATTTCAGGTCTACCCGTGCCCTTCTGGGAAGAATAGTTACTTGTAGTAGGACGGTTGAAACCGAATTCATATTAAAGAAAAAGGTACTTACAGGGTGTAGGTGCGATATTGGTTGAGTTGAGAGCTGAAAGCAAAATAAATGAAAATCCATTGGAAAGCGTGTCTGCTTGGAACAATTACAAAACAACAACTTTGATATCAACAAAAAGCGTATAACTATTGATGTTTATGTGCTTTACGTTTCATCGTGAACAAATACAACACGCAAGGTTCATTCAAATGTTTACCAGTTCCTCCAAGTATGAGGCGTTTTGCTCCCAGAAATTCAGAGAGATCTAAGCTTAATTCATCGATCTAATAGCGGATTGATTAAACTGTTGATTGGTCATTAAAATACGTTATTGATTTACTGTTTCAATAGGTAACTTGATTCACCAACTCACCGATTGGTTGGATGATTAATTTAATAATAACATTTTGCCATTTCCAGCCTTCCTCATTTAATAAAGGTTAATAAATTGACCACTTGAACAGTGAAATGTTTGCGTAACAATCTT